TCTAATTAACTATTTACTAGCTCTGTGATCCTGGAAAAATTGCTTAACCTTTCTGTGCAATTAGTTGCTTGTCTGTAAGCCAGGAACAACAGTGACAACAACTGGCCATGGACTAGTGTTGTACTTTGGGAAAATCACTTATATTTCAAGGCAATGTATTCTTTGGGAGGGCCTTGACTATCAGAAAGCTATAATCTGTACCCAGTGAATTTAGAACATTGCTGGAATGTTCTACAATGCCTCCTATACTCAGATGGGCTCAGAGAAGAGCTGACAATAAATTCATTAAACGTGTGTTCTTTTAGGCTGAAGGACCTCACTTCTCTCTTGGAGAAGCAGCATGAGCTCATCAAACTCATCATTCAGAAGATGGAGATCATCTCTGAGACCGAAGATGAGGATAACCACTGCTCTTTTCAAGACAAGTTCAAAAAAGAGCGGTTGGAACTCATGAGTAGCAGATGGAATTCCGTGTTGAGAGCAGTCAAGACAAAAACACAGTGCCTGGAGCCCAGACCCTAAATGGGGCTTCTTATGGGGGTACATGACTCACTGCATCTAAGTTCACCTAGAAAGAGTGAGGAAGGAGCAGAAATCTGATTGATGCCACTCCGTGGGAAACAGTGGTTCCTGCATTCTTTGTCAAAGTCAATTATTTCTCTCTATTCATATTTTCTGCCAATCACTAGGTATTGAGAATATCTTTGCAGATATGTTCAAGCTGACCTTTAATGAAAGGTAATATCATCCTTTGAATGAATAGAAAACTTATTTGCTAGAACACACATTTAAGGATAAAGGAGTAATACATGTATTAACTATTAAGCTAGAATGCAAATGGCAATACTGGATTCCTGCTTGATAATTATATAACATGAGATAACTTAGTTAACAGTCCCAAGAACCAGATTGAGTTCTACCATGTGGAAAGCTTTTCTGTGTTACAAGAACTTTTGGTTGCACAACGTGTGCTGTCTGTTCCAACTGTGGTAAACAGCCCAACCCTTCTTGCTGATGTTACTTTGAGCCATGTATTTGAAGTCCAAATTAGTAGACCTTATGCTATGCATGAATTGTGTTATAGATAATGTGTTATTTCTGTATATTTTGTTTTCCTGTGATCACAATAAATATAAAACCTGTGTAGTCATTCCTCAGCAATTATGGTACAAACTTTTTATTGTATTTAGGATTTGGAGTTGCGGTTGCGGTTGCAAGAATGCTTCCATCACATACGCCGTTTGTTTAGTACAAAGTGTGAATTAAACACACACCTCATCACTGATCTCTAACTGTATTCTATTCCTCTCAGCCTGTCCTTTCTCCAGCACTTTTAAAGCTCAATTTATATAGCATCTATACTTCAAACTTATCCCTAATGATCGCCACTAATTATGCTCCCTGCCTCCTCTGAACTGTCATATGTTGCATTTCTCCTCCACCCTTTGACCTATTTGGTAACTCTGATTTGCTACACCTCTATCCCCCAACAGGAGGTAGGCTCCCTGAAGCTCATAATTCACTGTCACTGCCAATCTCAAGTGAGATAAAGAATCACATTATATCTTAATTCATGTTTTTCATCTTTTGTCGTTTCTGGCACAGTACCCTGTACATAATAGATGCTCAACAAATACATATATGTAAATCAAATAAAAATCATTGAAGATAATTATTATAGATCTGAAAGAGACTGCAAGGAAACTTCCTCAGAAGAATATGTTACTATCTTTATTCTACTGCTCTGTGTTGTAAACAATTTGAAGGATTTGCTTCCAAGTGGTGAAAGAGTTACTGAAACACCATTTTTCTGCCTTTCCCCCTGCTGCTTCAACCTGAATTGATATTTTTATAAATTTCAACTATGGTTAGCATGGTAATAGAGTTTGTGCTTTGCAATATGACACTTTTTGCCTTCATAATGACTAATTCCAATTGGTTGAGTGACTCCAGATGTGTTTTCTCACATCTAAAATGGTAATAACAGCATATTGCAGTGTTGTTAGGAAGGGACAATATCATGCAAACAGAGTACCTGAGCTCAATAAATCCTATTGCAATTTGTTTTTGAAAACTACTATAACAGATAAAGAGGCTTATAAAACACTGGGATGTTCATATTCTACTAATTACTCATTATACTTCTTTAGAAGTTAACTAGTTGCTAATTTGATATAAATTGAAGCTCCCAGGCTCTTTGGGATCCCTTTAGCCAAGCAAATCATATACAAACCTCACATTCAGAGAGAACTTTGATATACATAAATATTTCATCAATTTTTTAATCTTTATTTTTGCCTTAGACCTAAATCAGCATACATCAATGGAGCACTAACTCTCTGCTAGTCAGAGCAATCATCATCATTTAATATTTTTTTTTAGCCATTTTCACCATTTTGATGTGAGCAGCTTAAATCATGATAACCAGAGGAAGGCTCATAAAATGTACTATGCATCAGGTGTTTCTCAAAGTACTACGTATTATCTCATTTGATTCTTAAAATCAGTATGGTAGGTGCTTTGACTGTCATTTTTGCTTTGTAAAAGAAATCATGACACCTCGGGTTGAGCAGCATGTTCAATGTCACATTGCTGAGTTATGAACTCGGGCAGTCTGCCCCTGGATTTTGTGTTCTTGTCATGAAGCCATACTCCCGTCTCAAGTAAAAACCAGAGAAAAGAGCATTTCTCTTTAGTGACTTCATCCTCGACAGATTGAAGAGTGAGCACTAGCGGTGGTGTAACATTCATAGACTTGGACATTTGACTGTTAGGAGACAGAACACTACAGGCAGCAAAAGCAAGTGTGATGGCTGCCTGAGCTACAGAATGTCTAATTTCTAGCTGTGTGACCCTGTTAACTGAGGACAATAACATTGAGGACAGTTAGGATAATACCACACACAGCTATCTTTGTGTCTCTGTGACCAAAATACCCAACAAGAACAACTTAGAGGAGGACAGTATTTTGGCTTACCTTTCCAGAGGTTCAGTCCATAGTCAGCCCATTCCATGGCTCTGGGACTGAGGAGAGACAGAACATCATGACAGAAGGGCAAGGTTGAGGAAAGCAGCTCACCTCATGATGGCCAGGAAGCAGACCCAGAGGAATTAGGTCACTGAGGTTCTGAGAACATGGCAGCCAGGAAGTAGAGAGAGTTTGAGTGCAAGGAGCCAGGGATAACATAATCCCCAATGGCACACCCCAGTGAAATACTCTCTCCAGCCATGTCCAGTGACCTATTTCCACCACCCCTTCATCTATTCAAATTATTAATCCATGAAATGGATTAATCCATTGATTAGGTTTAAGCTCTTATAATGTAATCATTTCACCTCTGAACATTCCTGCATTGTCTCACACATGAACATTAGGGGATGTCTCCTATCCAAACCATAACATCTATCAAAGTACATCGAAGAAGCATTCAACTTTAAAATCACTTAGCTATCATACACAGGGCACTTTGGTACAGATTCTGAGAACCGGGGCCTATAACCCCAGAACCCAAGTGACTTAGTCACCCAGCCTGCTACCAAAAACAGCTCTGAGATCCTGAGTGTCACAAAAGAGAAACTGCAAGAATTAGGAACTGAAACTTTTCCTGATGGCATTGTGGATATGGCATCTAATGAGCAAAGGCAGAGCCAATTGAGGACACCTCTCAGATTCTAGGATCACTCCAGTTCTACTCACTATGTGGCTTCATGATGGATTAAACTTCACTCAGTCACAGCTGATCCCTTTAGTCTGAAGTCATCTAACACCATTATCTTTAATAGTGATGTTCCTTCAGGCCAGAGTATTTCCATTGGGGAGATAAAAGAAGACAGAAAACTGAGGCTCCTCTTGCAATTCCTAGCTCCAGGACTTCCAATAAAAGAATCCAGCATTTATGCAGTTTCCCAGGAAGCAAAAGGTGACTTTTGATCCTGAACTGCAAATGGTCTAAGGCCAAAAATAAAACCTCTGAAGAACCAGCATCCTCTGGGGATCTATGCGGAGCTGGAACCAGAAGACCCCATTGATGGAGACCTCCATTTGTGCAGTAGGATCCCTTACATGAGGAAAACCTAAGTGGCAGTTTCATATGGTTCTGATCCTCCTTCTCTTGAGATGTTTCTGGTACCTGCAAGTTCAAAGGCAGATGATGATACTAATTTAAAGAGGCTTCAATTTCAGTGGCAGCAGAACAATATTTAGGTTGCCAATAAATAGATACACAGAATAAGCTATATAAAAATGATACTTTTATGTGAATCAGAATTACGTAGCAGTTTGAGGAGACATAGTCTCCTCTCCAGAGCCAAATCTTGGGGGAAAAAAAAGAAGAAGGAAAGGAAAAAAAAAAGAAAGAAAATTGAACACTGAGGCATAAAACTCTCAAGATAAATCATTATGAGTAGTAACTTCAGTTGTTTTAAAAATAGATGGAGGAGAAGAAGAAGAGGATGGTGATTATATCTCATGGAAATAATGAATCTCAGCATGATGTCAGTACTAGAAGGCCTCACTTGCACCTCGTTAATAGGCTAATTTCAAAGCAATACTGAAACTCAGGAATCTGTTAGAATGGCAACCAAAGTTTCTGCAGCCTACAGAAACACCTTCTCCCCAAATTTCAATTTCTCATCAAGAA